CCCCCCGCCCACGCGCCTTCTTCACCGAGAAGAAGATTCCCCACGAGTGTCTGGTCATCGGGGCCCTGGAGAGCGCGTTCAAGGAAATGGTAGGTACGGCCGAAGGGTCCGGGGCGACGAGGGGGCACCGGGAGGTCACTGAGGCCAAACTCTTGCTTCTTTTTATTTGTTCTTATTGTATTTTCATTGATTTCAGAGAGGAAGGGGGAGGGAGTGAGAGTAGAAACATCAGTGATGAGAAAGAGCCATCGATCTGCTGCCTCCTGCACGCCCCCTCCTGGGGATGGAGCCCGCAACCCAAGCAGGGGCCCTGACCAGGAATCAAAGCAGGACCTACTGGCTCCTGGGTCAAGGCTAACCCACCGAGCCACACGGGCTGGGCTTAAACTCTTGCTTCTTAAAGATTGCCGGAGGGGGCATGTCCACTTGTTGCTGGTTCCACAGGGACGTCTCCCTTTTATAATAGGGTTTCCATTCTCAGTAGAAGTTGGCAGCAAGACAGAGTTCCTGGCATCGCGTGCCGGCCAAAATGAAAAAGAAGATGAAAGCGAGTGACGGTGCATGAGGCAATGGGCTTATTAAATAAATGTATGCGTTATTGCTTCTCTCGGGCAGGCTCATATTGGTGCCAGCTGGTACACTTCCACTTAATTGAAACGAGTGTGGTCGCCATCTGTTATATACATGTGCCTGGGGTCCAGGTGTTTGGGGAAACAGAGCTTTTAGTGAAGAGCTCAGAATGACCCCCTTTTCACAAATGTGATCTGAGAACAGCTAGTTTACGTGATGTGTGGCGGTGCGGTTCTCACTGCTTCACAAAAGCACGGGCCAGTGTCCAAGGATCGTTTGTTTTGCTTGGGAACATGGATTTGTTTGTACATGTAAATCTGAATGTGTCTGATCATCAGAGTCAGCCTCCTTCCCCGTCAGCCTCACTCCTAGAACACACTCAGGGGGAGAGTGCAGCTGCTCCCAGGCACATAGAAGGGGGCCCCGCTCCGTTGGGCACCCCCTTCCCTCTCTGAGATCCCTTTCTATGGAGGCAATGATTTGGGTTTCAAAGATTTCCTCTCCTGAGCGAGCAGCAACCTGCATGCAGACAGAGTAACAGATACGTAAGCATAGTCTAAGGCAGTGATGGTGAACCTTTTGAGCTCGGCGTGTCAGCATTTTGAAAAACCCTAACTTAACTCTGATGCCGTGTCACATATAGAAAATTTTTGATATTTGCAACCATAGTAAAACAAAGGTTTATATTTTTGATATTTATTTTATATATTTAAATGCCATTTAACAAAGAAAAATCAACAAAAAAAATGAGTTCGCATGTCACCTCTGACACACGTGTCATAGGTTCACCATCACTGGTCTAAGGACTTGAATGAGGTGAGTGTGCGGCCATGTCCTGAAAGCCTAGAGATTAAAAATGATGACAAGCCATTAAGTGAAGTGAGAGCAGCTAGAGACCTCCCCCCACCCCCACTCCCAACCCCGAATTGCAGGTACACACCATGCACATTCCAGGATCTCCTGAGGTCGGGTCGTGTGCTAATGGCAGCAGAAAAGCAAATAATATTACACAGCATCATCTGACTTGTTTATAAGGCAAAAATAGTTCATATATTTGCACCTCAACCTTATACCCTTTCCTCACTCTAACCCATCCCTTCTTTGGTCCCAGTGTCTCTCTCCTGTCACAGATAATAGTTACCCTTCGAGTAGCAGGTGGTTTAAAGTGCACCTCCGTCTCCGGAGTGTCTGGTGGTCTTCATTTCCAAGAAAAATACCAGGAGGCTGGAAAAGATTACTTAGGAGAAAAGGAATCACGGTAGTAAAACCAACTCCTATTGGGGCTCGGTATCATATCAGCCCACTCTCCGGCGCTCATGGAACTCTGATGTGAATAAGTGTTTCTAGACCCAGTGTCCTGAATGCTGATATGTAATTGAGGTAGAAATTTGACCATGGGCTTACAGCCCTCGTGGGAGAAAAGTGAAAAACAGAAGAAACCTTGGGTTTTTCCGTCATTGCTAGTGCCATGGCAGCTTTTCCTTTTACTTGGAACTGCTGTATTCTCAGTTTTTTCCACCAGAGGCCAATGTCACCTCGAGTCAGGCCTCCTCCACAGGGTCTCAGGCCTCTTCTGGCCATTGATGGCTCCGGGTTACTAGCAGCAACTCTACTTGAAATGAAAGTCCCATTCGGAAAAATACTTAGTAAGGAGCCTCATTCTTATTTATTATTATTTTTTCCCCCGCTTTTAACTAGCCAGTTCATGACCTGACATTTTTCTTGGAGACTTCATTGTTACATTTTCCTGTGTAATGCATTCAATCCAATAAATTCAGAGGTGGGCAAAAGTAGGTCGACAGCTGTGAATATTCAAAACAGAATTTATTGTATTATTAATTATTGCATTATTTTCCACATGAACAGCTGTAAACCTACTTTTGCCCACCCCTGTATTTGTTGAGAACTGACTGTATGCCAGGCCTAATTGAGAAAAGAGCATTGAATCAGGCAAAGCCGGGTATTAAACAAGTAAGATATAAATGGGAAGGACCTTGAGAGAAGTGTTGGTCACGTAGGAGTCTGATAAAGAAGTCAAGCTCAGGGTTCCCTGGAGAAGTGGGCGTGGGGGGGGGGGGACGAGACAGAGAGGAGTGAAGCAGACAAAACCTGGGAGGCTGAGGGTGTTCTGGGCAGAGGAAACCGGTTGCATAAAGAACATCAGAGAGAGGACCCAGAGGGGCTGCAGGCAACAAGCCAACATCCACCATGGTTAGATTTCAGAGGTAGGAATGATATAAAGTGAACCGGAGAGACCGTCTAGACCAGTGATGGCAAACCTTTTGAGCTCGGCGTGTCAGCATTTTGAAAAACCCTAACTTAACTCTGGTGCCGTGTCACATATAGAATTTTTTTGATATTTGCAACCATAGTAAAACAAAGACGTATATTTTTGATATTTATTTTATATATTTCAATGCCATTTAACAAAGAAAAATCAACCAAAAAAATGAGTTCGCGTGTCACCTCTGACACGCGTGTCATAGGTTCGCCATCACTGGTAGAACCCACCTATGGAGGACCTGGTGTGCTGTGTTATGAATTTTTGGCTTTAAAACTCTCTCTTATTCTCCAATCCATCCCACCCCTCAGCTTCCTCTTCACACTTGAATTTTCCCCAGATTGTTCTTTTTGGCTCCCAAACTGCCAGAGAGCCCCCTGGACTTTGCAGCGAGATGCTCGTTATTCTTTGGTTTTCATGGTGCTTGGTGGGGTGGCCCGGCGTCCGGCCCGTAGTCATCATTAATACTGTCCCCTTTTGTTCCCATTTGGATGATGCTTACGTTTATACTAATTAAAGAGACATGCTCTTATTTTTCCTTTGCTTCATCAGGGACTTCAGAAAAAATTTCTCCATTGTCATGGAAACAGTGCCTGACTTAGCCATGACATTGCTTGGGAAATTACACAGTGTACTCTCATGTTAATGGCCTGGAAGGCCATCGCCAACTCCTTTTCTTTCCTGTCCCTCTCAGTATTGGGTCTTTGAGGGTCATTGTTTCAAGGTAAACTTGGGTCTTTTGAAATGTCTAACACGCAACAGATTTCCTGATCTCCTGGGCCTGATCTTGGACGTTCCTCCGCAGGCCTTTCAAGGCCTTTCGGAGAAGGGCAGGTTTGTAATTTCCCAGCCACTCCTACATTCTTTCCTCACAATAGCCAGCAGCTCTCTAGCTTTCCTCTTTCTGGGTGTTCTTGAGGTCTTGCAGGAAAACTCAGTATTAAATAAGATCCAGTCATTTCAGCTTTCTCTCTTACTTTTAATAACTAAAACTTTCCCAAGCTCAGCGCCTAAAGCCTCAAATTTGCCTCACTGATGACATTTCTGTAGTTTCTCTCTCTCTCTCTCTCTCTCTCTCTCTCTCTCTCTCTCTCTCTCTCTCTCTCTCTTTCTCTCTCACACACATACTTTTCTCAGTCACTAGTATAGATTGAGCTAATATTTTATAACCTCATTCTTCTTCTAGACACCATGAGGGTCTATAAGTAAAAGAATAGATTTTATATTTAGGGGCGTTTGTAGTCACACATTATATGAATATAGAGATAAATATATACAATATCTCATTTATTTTGATGTTCTAAGTAACATTAAGGAGGGTGGTGCATGTTAATATCTGTCTGAGAGGGACAGTCGGTTAAAAAGATTCAGAAACATCAAGCCAAAATAAATAGTACTTATTTCTACAAAAAAAAGAAGTAGGTATTAGTCGAAAATAGAGACTAACAGAAGCGGGGAAAATTCTTTGAACAGTTTCATCAAATACTGGAGGCTTCTTTGAGGCCACTGCTTTCCTCCTCTGTCCCCAAGTTGGCGCCATACGTGGCTTGTGGTGAAGGTGACTCTGACCACTGGCCTCTAATGCTGACCGTGCCGGCTGGCAGAGGCAGGTGTGCCCCTGATTGTATCTCATCTTGGATCTCCCTCCCTAGTGAGGACCATTCATAGCCAGCCCCTCCTGCGGCCACCATGGCTTCCCAAAGGCCTGGGATTTCAGAACTTGGTGACTTACGTCAGTTCTGCTTCCCAACAATGCTCTGTAACAATGCCAACTTTAGCAGCTAAGTTTTGTCACCTATTGTGTTTAGGGTGTTATTTGGCCCAATATGATAGATGTGAATAAAACAAATGACTACAGTGGCCTCCCTACTTCCCCACCTACAAAATCGGGGTGAATAGTCAGCATTTCAGGTTCTCGAGAGAAGTCTCTTCCATTGTTGGTATAATTGTGATACCCCAAATGGCAAGCTGGAGTTTCCGCGTTCTTGTCCTACAGAGTTCGAAGAATAAAAATTTGTGGACTAAAAGATTTTATGCAAAAGCGTGGAAATTAATTGCAAGTGTATACGGACTCCCTCGTGGGGAGGGGCCCCCAAAGGGGAACCAGTGAAGTCTGTTTGTCTAAGGGTTTATAAATGCTGGCAGCTTCTTTGTTTATACATGCTCCTTTCTAATTGGACCCTTCCTCATTTTATGTCCCCCGTATTTTTTCCTAATTGGCCCCTGGGCAGGAGAATC